ACGAAAACAATCGTTCACGACATCCTCTGGAAAATTCGGTATAACACATCACGAGAGTTAAAAATCTCTGATTCAAACCAATTGGGCATGCACCGGGTTCGTCTGTCTTGTTAAGTATGTTCCAAATGTCGTGGTGCGATGACGTCAAAAGAACTGCCTTCGCAGGACAAAATTGTGGCTTGACAGCACCCACAATATAAAATGTTGTACCATTCGACGAAACTACGGCATCGGATAGACCAATGGAAAATGACGAATAGTTTGACGATTCATTTTCCACCGGTCCATGACGAAATTGCGAGAATACAATTTTACAACGATTATCATACTTACCAATATCGGGTTGAAAGAGTGGGTATGGCTACCAGTAGGTTGGTTCGATGGTATATTAATGATATAGGCCGACTATGGGTGAAATCAACTGTCCTCGAACCAGCAGGATTTCCAACTGCGGACCACACTGGTGTGCTTCTGCATATACAGTCTCCACATAATGCGTGCAGCGTCGCAAAAAAACCAAAAGCATACCCACCGCCACCGTATGCCATAGAGGCCACACGAAGCTGTGTCAAACAAGTGTTGAAGAAATTTATGGAGCGGCTTGGTTGTGACCAGCAATCCGCCACGGAGGTTGCGACTACATGGTATACGTTTAAAACAAAGCTGCCGACTAAAATATTACGGGCACGAACGACCGAGCGTCAACGCCTGAAGAATACCTTTCGACAAAAAATTAAAAGTTTGAAGAAACAACGGGTCCGGGCGCAGGAGAGAGCACGGCAATTTGCGGGAACGCCACTGGGAGAAGAAGCTCACTTTGCATTACAACGCATCGACGTGGCAATAGCTAAAAGTCAACGAAGACGTCGAAGACGCGCCAACCAACGACAACAGCGTCGTTTTCGTGATCACACTTGGAAACCGAGAAAAACCACTAAAAGTATGTTTCGGGGAAATTCCTATAAATTCAACGATAATGACCTACATTACGAACAGCTGAAGGTGATTATGTCAGGGATAACAGGGCAAAAGCAGAGACTTTTGCAGATGCGTGGACCCCAATTTTTACCGGGAATACGCCAAGTTTCTATGACATAACACAAGTGGCTGAATGAATGGAAGTTCATCCTGGCGATGATACCACTAATGAATTAACAACCAACCGGTGCATTACAGAGGAAGTGGTGGCTGATGCAATACAA